TATGTGTAAGTGTACAGTTTAGACACAAGCCATTAAAAAAATCCAGTCATGGGGTGAAATCGATACGATTGTCTTTCAACCTATCTCTGCACACAGTTGGACAGTGCTAGGACCAATCAGAGCAGCGAACAACGTCGTGACATATTCATCACTATGGAAATCAGTCAACGGGGCAGTTTGCCATACACCATCAAAGAAGAAGCAAATACACCCTTTTTCTAAATAAATAACTTGAGTACAGTGATCCCTCGCTACTTCACGGTTTGTTTATCGCGGATTCACGACTTCGCAGATTTTTTCTTTGGAGCCTTATTCAAGGGAAATTCGCCGATTCGCGGAATTTTTCACCGATTCGCTGTATTTTTCTGTCATGTTTTGGGGTAAGTGTCTAACCCAAGACATACAGAATCAGACTCAAGTCGAGGTAAAAGATAAACAATAATTTTATTTCTTTAATGATGAGGAAAACTGAGGGCGCACTGGTGATCCAGCGGAGGGTAATCCAGGAAGCGGCAAAATGCGGAAGTTCAGGGTGAATGTGGAATTGAGCTGGGGTGATATCCAGAGGCGAATTGTAGATTTCCAGGTGGCAGAGTAGACGGATGAGGAGGACGAGGTAACAGAGAGGGAGCGTGAGCACGGTGGAGAGCGGGATGGCAGAGCGGAGTTGGTATGCAGGCAGCAAACCGGTGAGTATCCAGAAGTCTCCAAGACGGGAGCGAATCCGGAGGAGAAGCGAGTCAGGCAGTAGTTAATCATCCGGCGTGGTATCCGTATAACCGTCCTCCTTTTAAAGCCGTCCCGCTAATCAGGCTGATGAGGATCAGCTGCGCTCCTTCTCCTGTTAAATAAATACTGTAAATATGGTGTCCCTACTTCGCGGATTTTCACCTATCGCGGCCAGGTCTGGAACGCATCTACCGCAATAAACGAGGGATCACGGTACTTCTATCTGCTCATGTCCCTAAGCAAAGCTGAAGTCAGAATTGTTCTAAGTTGATGCCAAAACTGTTTGAGCGCTGTTCTGAGCTGACGCCATCTTTTTAGTTTTTCTCCATCGCATCTCTGGTGCCAAGCCCACCCAAGCAACACAGAGCACTGTAATTGGCTAGACACAAAACTGTTTGGTCCACTGGTAGATCTGCAGAGCTTATGATGGAGCATGGCTAGAACAACCTGCAGAGCTAAATTAGTTGCTCCTGCTATGGCTGTTCTACATTTCTAGGGTAAGGTTTTTTTCTGCTTCTTGTTTAAAAACCAGACTTAATTTATCAGCACTTGAGCCAAATCTTACTTCATGTACATTCTCGCCTTTTTTTTCCTCTCACAGCTGAAAAATTAACAAACATCTGGGCTAGCTAGTGAACTGGCTTCTTCTACACACACACACACACACACACACACACACACACACACACACACACACACACACACACACACACACACACCCTCCTAGGGGTATTTGACTGCGATAAATAATCATTGTAAATAATGAATGTCAATTAATAGAGGAAGACGTGGCCTTGCTAAGGACGCTCTGATTAGTCTTTCAGTAGGATCTGCTCCCCAGCTGGTTTCAGCCAATCATGCCAGCCTTATTCAAACTCTACTTCTCTATTACAGTCACAGTTCTCACCTCGACCTAGGAATATAGTGTTTTTGTGTTAGGGAGTCTCTCAGCAGGGATTAAAATATGATGTGTACCAGGATTTAAAACAGCATTAGAACTGTTCCATGTGTTGTTGTTTGAGAAGTGGTTTCATTAGGACAGTTTGATGATAATGTATGCATTTATTCAAGGATACACTCCTTTTAAAAGCAGTATGTGTGATGACCTCAGTGGTGTTATTCAAAGTGTTGTAGGTTTAACTGTTAAAAGGGATTTAGTTTATTTGCCCTGTTACATATTTAAGTATTTTTTATCACACATAGATGTTTTAGATCATCAAAAACTATTTTAATATCAAACAAATCAAATCTGAGTAAATACTAAATCCAGTTTTCAAGTGATGATTCCAGTGATTAGTGGAGGAAAATCTATCCAAGCCAACTTGGCCCTGTGTGAAGAATTGCCCCTCTAATGGGGCTTACACATTAGCGTCAGCACGGCCCCAAAAGGTATCGAACAGCACCGGAATTTGGTTTCACACACAGGTCAGATTTGCGTTTTCGGTGCCGAGGCGACTCTTTCTCTCAGACCTTCTGCCCAGCGGTCAGACTGGGACCGAGGCGACACTACGGACTGATTGGCCGGCCGAAATTCCGCCTTCTGCCTCAGGGGATTTCTCGCATGTGTGATTCATTTTCATGCTGGATGCTGTTGAGTAGACTTCTGTCTGTAGCACGGAGCTGCCGATCCGGAGCTGCAGTTAAGCTTGGGTATGGGAGAAAAGAATAGCTTTTTTTTCTGTGTGTGTGTGCGTGCGTGCGTGCGTGTGTGTGTGGCGATTATGAGGACACACACAGCAAATTAATAAAATAATGTGGTTCGGCGTCTCCAAAAGCAACTCAGCTCCTGTCCGCCTTTTGTTTACCTTATGGAGCGGACTTTCCCTGCACATATTAAGCTCCGCCCACAGGCTCTGGGAATTCCTGAGAAGTCCGTCAGATTTATATGTGAACACTACACCACCCATACCAGCCCAATCTTACACCATCCAGCCCGACCGTGCCAACGCTAATGTGTAAGCGCCTTTACTGAACTGTGAATTAAACATGATGATTTTTGATTATTTATATAGCTGAATTCCGTTCCACCAGCCAGTCAGACCTGATCACTACCAGACCTGTAGAATAAAGTCATCTCTTCAATCAAACCTGCATGACATCATGAAGTAGGTTAAAAGATCTGAAAATGCAACACACCGTGACCTTTTCTAAATACATTTAAAGAACCCAGAGCATCTAAATCTCTACAGGATTTGTTAGGTTAAGGTCAGAGGTCATGATTCATCAATATGAAAATATGAGGCAAGAAAAAGCATCATGGGGAAGTTCTGAGACCAAAGGTTTGTCTCACATTTACCGAAAGCAAAAAAACAACAACTTTCAGGCTCAGCCAAGGTGTTGAGGGGATCCATTTTGGTTCCCTAAGGATTGGGTCTCTTCTTTTACAGATGATGTGGTCCTGTCGACTTCATCAGAACGTGATCTCCGGCTCTCATTGGAGCGGTTCGCAGCTGGGATGACAATCAGCTCCTCTAAATCCAAGACCATGGTCTTGAGTCAGAAAAGGGTAGAATGCCTTCTCCAGGTCAGGGATGAGGTTCTGCCCCAAGTGGAGGAGTTTAAGTATCTCGGGGTCTTGTTCAAGAGTGAGGGAAAGATGGAGCGTGAGATCGAAAGGCTTATTGGTGCTGTGTTTGCAGTGATGCGGGCGTTGTACCGATCTGTCGAGAGCTGAGCCGGAATGTAAAACTCTCGATTTACCAGTCGATCTACGTTCCACCCCTCACCTATGGTCACGAGCTTTGCGTATTAAAGAATGAGATCGCAGATCCAAGCGGCCGAAATGAGTTTTCTCCACGGGGTGTCTGGGCTCTACCTCAGAGATAGGGTGAGAAGCTCTGTCATCCGGGAGGAGCTCTGAGTAGATCAGCTGCTTCTCCACATCGAGTGGAGACAGTTGAGGTGGCTTGGGCATCTGGTTAGTAGAGGTGCTGAAAAAAATCGATTCAGGTCTGAATCGGGATTCTTATTTATAAAGATTCAGAATCGATTCACAAAGGTTCAGAATCGATCCCAAGAACTCAAATGTTTGGCATGTTACAGGTTTGAGATGCACTTTTGACTTCATTATGGATGGATGGATGGATGGATGGATGGAATAAACTAACAAAGATAACTCTTTTAGAGATGTTCTGTGGACTGATGAGACCAATGTGGAGCTTTCTGGACAGTGTGTGTCTCGTTGGTATAAAACCAACACTACATTTCCTAAGTACAACATCATACCAGCAGTTAAACACGGTGGTGGTAGTGTGATGTTCTAGACCTGGGCTGTAACTGATGGGATATACTTATCCACAGTGCTGTACGTGGCTGACATATCAGAGTTTAGCTCAAAACTGAACACGTGGATGTTATAAAGGTGTTGTTGTTTAGCTTGGGGGGGGGGGGGGGGGGGGGAGCAGGAATCTAACATAACACCGTGGCTTTAAATGATGGGGCTGTAAGCCCAGGCTGCTGGACTGAAGGAGGTCGGCAGCTCAACTGCTGCTCAGATTTAGACTTTAGAGGGTAGAAGGGTGACTGAGCACCCCCCCCCCCCCCACACACACACACACACACACACACACCACCACCACCGCCACCCCCCACCCACCCTTCTCAGTGATAAATGGCCACAGCATGGGCTATTCATCTCCTGCTTAGAGAAGTGGACAGTGCCCCCTCTGCATGGCTTCTTCTCCACCCCCTACAAGTCAGCAAATGTGATAATTCTCTCATTTGTCAGAAGCAGCGGAGGGTTTGGTGTGTGTTTTTCTGAGGGACAAACTCGCCATATGAGTCATTTCTTTCTCTTTTTTTATTCAAACCTTACTCTTGAAAAGTTTACTTCAGTTAAAATGGGAAAATCTAAATGTTTGTGTGTGTGTGTGGGGGGGGGGGGTCTATTTTACTGCTAATTCAGTCAGTAATTCAGCAATTTTATTACCTCCAGGAAACTACTGAGTCACTTTTTCCATTTTATTGTGCGAATAAAGTTGCAGAGTGTGTGTGTGTGTGTGTTTTGCTCATCTACTCACATACATGACATTTTTAAAAGCCACATATTCAGATTCTTTAATTGATGCAGGTTAAATGATCTAATGCCCCCCCTGTACAGATAGATCCCTCATAGTCAGAGCTTCTGCTGCTTATTAAACACAATAAGCCTCTGGTTGATGGCTGGAAGTTTTGTTGTCACATACACGCGGGACTGTTCCACGTGTTTACCATTCTCTGTGGACACTGTGAGACTTGCTCCTCCTGATCTGATCTCTGTCTTCTCTCTGCAGGATCATCCAGAATCGTATCCTGGTCTTCGTCCTCGGCGCCGTCATCCTCCTCACCGTCATCCTGGCCATCTATTTGAATCTGCGAAGCCACTGATCTTTACTTTTCACCCATAAACACACACACACACACACCCATGTCCTTAATCCCAACACAAACACACATGATTAATAGCGACAAAAGCAGTGTTCTGCTGTAATTAGGACAAATGGTCCCCATGAATCAGTTTCCAAAACCTGACAGGGAGCTTTTTTCCTCTCATTTCTGGACTTTATGTCAGGTTCTTTCTTCCCGTCTCTAGGGATGAGATGTTTTTCTGATGGATTAAACTTTTCATGATATCGTCCGTAGTGTGTATTTGCACCTGATCTTGACTCCAGGTGAACACAGCTTGACTAATCTTAATCAGAAGTCGTTTTTTTTTTTCTCTCGTAGGGGTGGGGTAAATGTTTTTAAAACATGTAGACATGCATGAAAGACAGGGGGACAGTCGGGGACCAGTGGACATACGTACAGTTTGATATTGGAGCTTCTTTAACTCGATGATTCAGCTGTTTTCCATGTAGCCCCACAAACAGCAGAGGACAGTGCCTTCAGATGAGATGTGCTGCTCCCACACTTGCTTTAAAAAGCTCCGCAAAGCCAAAAATAGATACTTGGCTTTGCTAAAAATAAAAAAAAAAATTATAAAGAAAAAGAAGAAATGAGTCAGGAAAAAGTTTTATTCCAGCTCAAGATCAAAGTTTGGTTTGATTCGTATGAAGAAATCTGCATGTTTACAACTTTTGCGTCCAGAAAGACATTTTAAGAGAGTTTAAAGGAAGGTAAATTTGGTTATTTACTAGATGTTTAACACATAAGACCCCACATCTGTTCAAGAGATGACAGACACTGACTTGTATTATGTTGGAACCCAGAACACACATCACAACTGTGGACTTTTTAACAGTCGTCGTTCTTCTAACATTTAAATAGATATATATGTATAGTGTTTTTGCTTTCAATACCAGTAATTCTGTTGCTATTTATTTATGAGAACAGATTCAGACGTCTGTGTAAGAATTGTGTGTTTTATTGTTGTTATTCTGAGTTAATGGCATTTTGGCTGAGGCAGGACCAAATGAAGTGTGCCCGTTTCTAGTTTCCATTCCTCTCCTTCTATAAATAGATCCAACCTGTTTTTGAGTTTTTCTGTTTGTTGTGTTTTTCGGGTGAAGTTCTGAAGATTGTTTCTGTTTGGCTGTGATACGGGTGTCTGCTGTCGAGTGATTCTTCATTTAAAGAGCGTATTTGGAGAATCTCCTGACAGTTTAATGTAGGATGGGTGGGATGGTGATGCCTTATCAGCCAGAAGCACGCACGCACGCACGCACACACGCACGCACACACACACACACACACACACACACACACACACACACAGTCAGGGTGAAGTACTGAAGTGCGCTTGTGTCTCTTGTGGTTGGTGATCAGCATCAGCTTCCTCGTGAGGACATTTGCTATTCCGTTTCAGAGCTATAGTCGTCATTTTCGACGATGCGGGAAAATCAGCCCCCCCCCCCCCCCCCCCACACACACACACACACACACACACACACACAATTCTAAAGCCCCCTCCCCTATAGGCCACCAGTTCTTAGGCCCTCGCCATCCACAGTGCCTTCGCCTGCTTCAAAGCATCAAATTAATGGCCGACAAAACAGTCCCTCTGACCGTCCCAAGGTGGGCCGACCCGCTGAGATTATCATTAAAGTCAAGGAAAACTATTTTTAAAAAGAAGGAAGTGGGCAAGGAAGGAGTTGGGGGGGGGGGGGGGGGGGTGTAATTCCCGGACAGTTTGACAAATCTCATCTGGTAATGACCCTCGGTGATTGTGCTCAGTCGGCCTGTACAGGATCTGCTGATGTGCTCTGTTGTCCGTCATTCTGTCTCTTTCTCTGCCTCCCCCCTCCCTTGTCTCTCTACCTCCTCTGCCACCTTTTCTCCTCCTCCTCCCTGTCCTCCCCTCCCCTCCCTCCCTCCCAGCCTGTCAGATGAGCGGAGCAGTAGCTAGCGAGCGAGCGGTGGAAGGCAGCGTGGCGGCGGCTTCTATTTGAAGTTGTAATGGTGTCAAAAAGTCAGGGCTGACTGACAGACGTCAGTCCCACAGGGCCTCATTAAAAACAGACCCACTTGACAAGGAAATAATTGAGCGCTGGCGACAACTTGGGGGCCCCCTCTGCGTTTTTAGATGTTTTTATTTTCTTTTCATTATTAGCGCCGAGCTATTATGTTCATTAAGAAATGGCATTAAAACAAGTTTTTAAAAGCGGGCAGAGGCGGGGAGGGGCAGAGGGAAGGAGGGATGCGTGGAGGTGGGGAGATAACGATTTGTTTAGAGCCCCCTTTCTGTTTTATTATTTAAACAGGAGCGCTGTCATGTGATATCTCCTCTGTATCCTTTCCCCTCTCGGTTTTTTCTCTCCTTCACTTTCACTTGAGCTTTTAATCTCTTTTTTTTCCACCTGCCCCTCTCTTTCCATCTCCATCTTTTTCTTCTCTTGAGCGATGGGTGCCAATGGAATATGAACTAGATTATTCATCAGCGTGCACCGCCCAGCACACACACACACCAACTCCATTTGCTCCATTGGCTGATTTGGTTTTCGATAAGCGTCTCACCGCAGAAGGCTGAGGATGAAAACTTGTCAAAAATAGCTTATATCTTATTCCAAGGGGCAACAATAGCAGCAGGTACAGACACCTTTTAATATTTAATTTAGAAGGGTGTTCACCCCCCTTAAGTGACTGAAGCTGCGTCTTCCATACAGACACCACAAAACTAGGGGTTGGGGAGGGGGGGTGAAGAGGGTGGAGCAATTAATTATTTGATGTCTGAAAAGTGATTTTAAAGCTCCTCCCTCCGTTTGCCGAGGAGGGAGGGTTGAGTCGCTGAGGGTTCGCCCAACCACCGTCCTCCCTGTGCCCGTCTCAGCTCTTGTTCTTCCTGGTCCTTTCCACAACATAAAAGTTATGAGAAAGGAAATCTCCTCGACAGGAAACCTCTGTGATGCGCCACCGTTACAAACAGCCTGATGTTTGTCCGCCATTTAAGACGACAAGGGATTGTGACAAGCGTCGTTTGAGCTGTCTGTCCCTGCGTTGGGTGGTCCTTAAACTGCATAAACAGCGCCAGTGGTGGGATCACGACGGGAGGGTGGGCGCTTCATCTTCTAGAGTGTCCACGATGCTGTCATTGCTACACACACTAACACAGAGAAAACACACACATGTATGTTAAAAGTGGCCCTGCTAACAACAGCTACCCACACACAATAGGGCTGTTTAAGAACTACAATGAGTATTCTTCTGTTTGATTCAGCTAGTGCACAAAAGTGCACGTATGGTGGGTGCACCCCATTAAGGAGACACACACAATCTAGTGTACGGCTGTTAGAAGAGGAGCCATGTTCTCCGTTTGTACACGCCACCAACAGAATGGCTGCCTTTCTCTCACCAGCCCTTTATCCGTCCTCGTCCTCTCATCAGTGCTGTCACCTGTTTTATCGCCGTTTGTGCTCACAGCAAAACAACAATTGCCCCCATTATTTCAGATCACCACATGCATGAATGTCTTGTGTGTGTTATGTGTGTTAAGAGCCAGGGTGATTGTGCGTATATCTTCACATCCACCAGTGTCACTTCTATTTCCTGTCCACCAGTCAATGTTCACCGACTCTGTGCTGCTTGTGATCTGTCAGCCTCTGTGTTGTTCTGCGATTAAAGCAGTTCCAGTCACCTGAATGCCGTGTCATAACTTGAGTCGTTTGGACTGATCTCACTGGTGTGTAGGCAGTAAAACAGGTTCCACCTTGAAGATGATGTGGCAGATTTCTGATTTCACCTGCACGCCTTCCCTTTAAGACAGTAGAAACACAAAGAGACGAGTCAGAGCTCAGAACTAAACCACTTAGCAGCAACCCCCAACCCTTCTCCTCTCATCATCTCTAATCTCTGTCATACCTTCCACCACCCTCCCTGTAGAATACCACCTCAACCTTTGAACTGAAATGAACACTTTACCTCTACAAAGGCGTACAGCTGTAACCACCAGTTTCATTTGCATCATAATGTGGAGATGAAGAAAGTAGAGCTTTTATAATTTGTTAGTGTCATATTGAATTCTTTACACCGCATGTCCAAGCAGATGTCAAGGAGAGTCATTTATGGAGTTTTAAACGTTTCAGCTAACCCTGTAAAGTTTCTGTTTGGTTGGTTTTTAGCTTTGAAAGACAAAATCATCAATGGTATAAAGCAAAGAGGAGTGCAGAAGAAGCCTTGGAGGCAATGAGTGGACTGGACGTTCTGAGGAGAGCAGAGTCTAGCCAGCCCCCCTCCCCTCCGTGCATTAATACACTTTGCATATGGTGTCTTAGCACTCACGATTCTAAATTTCCAACTGGGAGGCATCGGCGAAGGAATCACTGTCTTCAAAAGACGGCCTGCCAGTCACGCATCTCCCCGAGCCGGAGATCTGAGCGCGCTGTGATAACCCGCGACATCTTTCTGGAATAACGGGGAGTCGATCAGCTTTGATGGAGCCCATCCGCCATGACAGGCTACTGAGGAGCTCGCTAATGAAGGAGGGATGGGAGGGAGGGGGGCATTGCTTAGCATGAGCGCACAGAGGGGGGAGTGGGAGGGGGAAATAAACGTGTGGATGGACAGTTTTAGAAAGTGCACCAGTACTGACGTGTATCAGTTTGGTGGTTGTTCCACTAGAGGATCATCACATGAACTACCCCCCACCTGAGATGGGTTGGTTGTAATTAAAAATTGGCCCAATCCCAGAGCTCTCTGGTCAGATTTTCCTTGAAAGTGGAATTTGATTCTTTGAGGTGAAGAGGGCAGGGGTTCCCAAATCGGGGGTGGGGACCCCACAGGATTACAGGGGATATGAAATTATGAAATTTGTCTAAGCTGAGGTTGTGAGATTGGCAATATTTTATTTGTAAAAATTACATTTCTAAAACCCAAAAACACACCCTACAGTACAATCCGAACTCCATACATAATTTATAATTCTGTATAAAGATGGTAAATGACCACATTTAATGTGTGTACTCATGTAGGAGTTAGGGTTGGAGGTTCTGGCTTGTGTTGGACATGAGCAAGGGGGTCCTCAAAGGAAAAAAAAAAAAGGGAACCCCTGATTTAGAGGGTAAAACACCTGCATGAGCCCATTCCATGTTTTTCCTTTCCTACCTCATTTCAGGACAAACGTCCCAGCTGGACTCGTACATCTTTGACCGGTTTACAGGCTGGTTCAGGCTCAGTGCTGCTGATGCAACTCTTATTTACATATTCTACTCCAGCACTAAAGTGTAAACCAAGAATTTCTGGAAACGCATTCTGCAGCACATCCTGTTCACCAAAACAGCCTTGCAGGCAGAAAAACATTGAGGCTCCACTATGTATACACACACACACACACCCACATCTATTGAGACGTATGCACATGGCAGCAAAATGCACAACTTTGTGTTCATCTCAAGGACTGGTGAGGACCCAAGTGGACTGAGAGGCCTTATTGATATTACCTCTTTTCATGCTGCGACTGTGGGATTACCCCATTTTCTCATTCATTTTTAAAGACTACTCCAGAGATACTTTCCTTTTTCCTGTTGTTTTGCCTTCTTCTATAACCCTCACTTTCACATACGTGCGCCCCCCCCACCCCCCCGCCTCAAATCGGCGCAGCAGTTGTACTCTCCCCTTTCCCACTGCAGAATCCCATTCTGACCCTGAAAATTGTAATGCAGCCATAGATCACAGCTGCTGAATATTAGGGCTTACAAAAGCAGTTAAATAAAATATGTTGAAATCATCCAATCCCAGAGGCCATGGCAGAAATTCTAATCAGGTGAGAGAAAGGGGATGGAGTCAGGAGGGGGATTATGGGTAAAGAGAATGGTATGGCTCTACGGGGCCAAAGTGAGACTGGAAGATCGTAGCGGTCGGGTAGAAGGACATCTGTGAGACAATTACCTGAATCTTCAATGGCTTTATCAAAAAGATGATATAAAAACACATTTTGGTTTTACGTCATTTAAATCACAACTTAAATGACGGCTTTCATGCGATCACAAAGCATTTTGAAGACAACCACTAGAATTTCAGGTAATCTGTGATACACTGTT